GCTTGTTGTGAAGGATCTGCGAAGCGATCAATAGTAACTCTCTGTAGAGAGGAAAATCCGACTTCACAAGGCCAGAAAAGCAATAAATTCCTCAATTAGTCGCGTTCTGGGGGCCGCGCGGCCGCTTGAATTTCGACAGCCACCGGCCCCAATTACCGGGTTGACGTCCTGGACGCGGTCGGAGTGAGGAGCTCGGGTGCTAATAGCGGTCTTGATGAAGATTGAACAGCGATTTTCCTTTCCCGCAAGGCCGGATTTGATTCCTACGAAAGTGGACGGCAGCGGCGGCCGCGGGACGACATTCCCCCCAACGTCACGGACAGCACACGAACGGGAGACGGAGCTCGGGACGCGGCTCTGGGAGTTGACCGTTTCAGCCGGCGCTCTCCTTCACTGCGAAGGACCGCCGCGGCCGTTCTGATGAGACGGCGAGGGAGCGGCGCTGGCGTTCGAAGTGCGCATAGCGATGGTGACGCCTTGGTGGGCGGGGAGAGGTGGATCGCTTGATGGATTCTCCTCGCCGCTGTCCTCCTTCTGGCTGATGGTCTGCGCCGGGCACTCGAAATGAACGCAGTGGAACACCTGAAATCATAATGGCAAAATGTTATAGAAACAGATCATCGGCTTTTAAACTATATCTCAATTACGGTCATTTTTATTACATTTTACGTCAAATTATCGGTTTATAAACTGATTTTTATTAGATAAAGCTGAACGTCGGCAAATCGCTAAATAAAGAGAAGAAATGCATCTAAAGAAGTCGTTTTACCTGCCAAAGAATTTGTATTTCCGTCTGTCTAGTCTTCACCGCCAGCCCGATGACACCACTTCCTTTGTTACCACCCCTCCCCCCCAGTCTGTGATTGGACATTGAAAGGCCAGTAGGAGACTAATGAGGTCATCTCTCTGCTCACTCTGTTTTGGTACATTGGCATGCAGCACACCTGATTGGCTGCCAGTCATGCCCCTCCCTTTCCCAAGCTGTGTGCTCCTGTACAGGAGATTAAAGTAGAACTCTAGGTTGTAGCAAAATTAACCCTTGCAGTGGAGCTACCCCCGCACTGCAAGGGTTAATTGTTTCTCTCTATGGAAAATAGTCCAGCTCCTCGATCCCGCAGGGCTGCCCCCCAATTTACACACTCACCTGCCCAGTGAAACCAGCATTGTCCTGCGGAGCCTGCCATAGACCAGGTCCTGCACG